ATTTTGAGCTTCATCCTATCACCCACAATCCTCCTCCCTCAGACAAGGAGGTGTAATGGGTAGCAGTTTGCCAAAGGGTCTCTGAACCCCCCTGTTGGTGCCGTGTCAGGGCTGAGGAGACACTGTATGGAAAACATTGGACCCCCCCTATGTAACTAACCTTACCCTGCACAGAATTGTCTCCTCACCTATACTGATGTCTCCATAAGATCGTTCTGGTTTACAAAAGGGGGGAAAAAAAGAAATTGAACGTTGCAACATTGTATCTTATCTCTATAATAAAAGAAGACAAGGCGACTGAAGGAATGTTCAGCCCGAAATGCGTTGGCTTTCTCTAATGACTTCTTGTCATATGTGGGAAATATTAATTGGACTCGGATTAGATTTGTGACGCTCTCGTCCTTTTCCTGTAAAAGAATTTGGGTTCCCTTCTGTCCTCTGCATTGACCATAAGCTACATTCCGGCTCTTGGGACTTTTTCCTGCAGGCCATCCATTCGCTGTATCTGGGCCCGGTCCTTTTTACAATCGGAAGTCTGACTTGTTTATCAATGTTTCAGGGTTCTCTATGAGGTGTAACCTTTTCTTTTCTGTTGATCAGCACTGCGTGGACATTGTTCACATCGCTGGACGCCGACCCTTTGGCCAGAATATGGTGAACATCTACGCCGACGGGCAGCTCCGGAAGGTGGCGCAGCTTCGCTTTCCGTCACTCAATGAGGTGAGATCTGATGGTGTGTGGACTGAAAGCCGACGTCGCTATTCTTATACCGGGATGCCAGGGACGGCTAAACGAGATCTGCCGGCTAGAATCCGTGGCTCCGCAGCCTCGTTTTATTAAATTCATAAACATCTAATCTTACTGCACCAAGTTCCAAAAACACTTCACAAAAACATAGAAAACCTGTTCTGTCAAAAGACGAGATCCCCCGATAAATCCCTCGTCTTACATTGGGCATGAAACTGCAATACATAGGTATCTAGGGGTGTTATATAGATTTGGATTATGACTGATGCTGCTTCTGTGTGTTTAGAATGTTCTTCAAGGGACAGTCCACCACAAACTGATTTCTCAGCTCCTGGGGAATGCTGGAGTCCTAAAATCCTGTAACAGCCTCTTCTCTCTCTTCTATCCCTCTTCTACCTGCTGTGCCCATTTGAGGGGTTCCCACCATTCCTGTGCTGAGTTCCCGGGTCTGTACACCCGCTGTGCCCATTATGAGGGGTTCCCACCATCCCTGTGCTGAGTTCCCGGGTCTGTACACCCGCTGTGCCCATTATGAGGAGCTCCCACCATCCCTGTGCTGAGTTCCCGGGTCTGTACACCCGCTGTGCCCATTATGAGGGGCCCCCACCATCCCTGTGCTGAGTTCCTGGGTCTGTACACCCGCTGTGCCCATTATGAGGGGCTCCCACCATTCCTGTGCTGAGTTCCCGGGTCTGTACACCCGCTGTGCCCATTATGAGGAGCTCCCCCCATCCCTGACCGGAGTTCTGGGGTCTGTACACCTGCTGTGCTCCTTGAATTGTTTTTCAAGGAGATCTCCCTGTTGGAGGAACCAACTCCTATTAGAAGCCAAGATCTGACTCAGCACTCAACCTAAAGCCTAAAATATCCCTTTTGGGTGGACTGATCCTTTAAACTGTTCTGCAGTACGATTAGATCTTAAAGTCACAGAAGCTTAAATGTCATTTCAGAAATCTTTTTCAAGCTTTTTAATCTGCAGGTTTCAATAAAATAATCCCCGGGGATTCTGCCATGGATGTCATTGTCCAGGCGCTTTCTGTTGCTGGGTGACAACGCCTCTGTCCCTGTCCCCCAATTATGCGCCTACGTTGTCACCCTATAAATGATAGAAGTCACCAGCACTCATTTGCTATGTGCGAAAAGCATAAGCACTTTTATTGATGCGTCATAGAGCCACCGTTTCGGGGCCGCGCAGGGTCCCATCCTCAGGGCGACATTGTGACTGTCTCATGGTTATAACGCTGTAGGGAGTGCAGGTGATTCACTGACGATACGTTGTCACCCTGCTACATGCATTCCTGTTTGCGTTTAAAAGCCGTACTGACCCACATTGCTCAGGCTTGGCCCATCTGGCAGCCGTTCCAGAGCCATGATGTGCAGGCGATGCTGACGCGGGGCGTGCATGTAGACATGAAGTGGCTAAGTACGCGTATAGAAATTTATAACTGGCTGTCCTATAAATGTTTTACTGGCTACAAAATGACTTTATATTTTCAGTTTTTTTTTTTTTTTCCATCACCCATAATCCTCTCTGTTTCTCATTCTGCAGTCTTTCACATCTTGCTGCATCGGGTCAGCCGGTCACCGTACCACCACCACCGTCTCCACCTCTCCATCCCATACTCCGGACCTCACCTTCGCCTCGCACTCCGCGCTCAGCCGCTCTCAGTCCTTTCCGGCCACCTCCGCGGGGCACAGCTGGGGGGCGAGCGGCGCACAGAACCCGCGGGAGGGTTTGGTGTCCACCAAAGTAGCCGGAACCCAGGACACGGAGTGGGGCACACCGACCTCACTAGAGGGCCATCTGGGCACCGTGTCCATCTTCCATGATACCATCCAGCAGTCTCATGTGAAGGCCCTGTACTCGGCCGGTGGGTAGTACTCCGTGCGCAGTATGCGTAACCGATACATTATTATATACTCCATTGGGGGACACCGATACATTATTATATACTCCATTAGGGGACACCGATACATTATTATATACTCCATTGGGAGAGAACGATACATTATTATATACTCCATTGGGAGAGACCGATACATTATTATATACTCCATTGGGGGACACCGATACATTATTATATACTCCATTGGGGGACACCGATACATTATTATATACTCCATTGGGGGACACGGATACATTATTATATACTCCATTGGGGGACACCGATACATTATTATATACTCCATTGGGGGACACCGATACATTATTATATACTCCATTGGGGGACACCGATACATTATTATATACTCCATTGGGGGACACCGATACATTATTATATACTCCATTGGGGGACACCGATACATTATTATATACTCCATTGGGGGACACCGATACATTATTATATACTCCATTGGGGGACACCGATACATTATTATATACTCCATTGGGGGACACCGATACATTATTATATACTCCATTGGGGGACACCGATACATTATTATATACTCCATTGGGGGACACCGATACATTATTATATACTCCATTGGGAGAGACCGATACATTATTATATACTCCATTGGGGGACACCGATACATTATTATATACTCCATTGGGAGAGACCGATACATTATTATATACTCCATTGGGGGACACCGATACATTATTATATACTCCATTGGGGGACACCGATACATTATTATATACTCCATTGGGGGACACCGATACATTATTATATACTCCATTGGGGGACACCGATACATTATTATATACTCCATTGGGGGACACCGATACATTATTATATACTCCATTGGGGGAGACCGATACATTATTATATACTCCATTGGGAGAAACAGATACATTATTATATACTCCATTGGGGACAACGATACATTATTATATACTCCATTGGGGTACACCGATACATTATTATATACTCCATTAGGGGACACCGATACATTATTATATACTCCATTGGGAGAAACAGATACATTATTATATACTCCATTGGGGACAACGATACATTATTATATACTCCATTGGGAGAGACCGATACATTATTATATACTCCATTGGGAGAAACAGATACATTATTATATACTCCATTGGGGACAACGATACATTATTATATACTCCATTGGGAGAGACCGATACATTATTATATACTCCATTGGGAGAGACCGATACATTATTATATACTCCATTGGGAGAGACCGATACATTATTATATACTCCATTGGGAGAGACCGATACATTATTATATACTCCATTGGGGGACCCCGATACATTATTATATACTCCATTGGGGGACACCGATACATTATTATATACTCCATTGGGAGAGACTGATACATTATTATATACTCCATTGGGGGACCCCGATACATTATTATATACTCCATTGGGAGAGACCGATACATTATTATATACTCCATTGGGGGACACCGATACATTATTATATACTCCATTGGGAGAGAACGATACAATGTTTCAGATACAGTGATTGTGATACAACAAAGTGACTGAAGAATAATGTGTATCCAGACCCAAGAATCCAATATATTGCAGCAGTCCTTAGAGGTGTGAAAGTCCAGGCCGCACCACTGCTTCTTTCCGTGAATCGCAATAAGCTTTATTAGTATGAAACTGGGTCACAGATATGTCACATGACTCCACCTCCTGAGGATTTTTGTCTTCAATATGGGGTTAGTCATTGGGGTAAATGAGTAGAGGTTGCCAGTCATAGGGCTGTCCATATGGTAGGCACAGGTGGTGGTCAGCTGCCTATCGGGGGAACTCTCAGTTTTTTGGGGGGCCCCGGAGCGATCGACAAGAAGTCAAAAACCTCATACTGGCAACTGGAGGCACAAACGTAACTGTAACGAGCCCCTTGCTCGCTCGGTTCCACTCTCCCGGCACTCCTTAGATTTCAGACCGCATCGTCTGATATTTCGGACATCCGATAATTCGGGATTGGAACTACAGCTCTGTGCCGTTCGTATCCAGTGGTGATAGCTCAGAACAAACACCAGGCCGGCTGTATGTAAGTTCAAACAGGAATCTCCTTTATTGGATGCTCACACACACACTTTTAGAAACAACAGTTTGAAGGTGGCCCAACCGATCAACTGCAAAGTATCCTCCAGTCCTCACCTAGGTCCTCTTGGCCATGCAAATGAGGACTCGAAACAAATAGGGATTGGTCCATAGTCTCTAGGAAGGAGGCTGGCCCTCAGGCTCCTCCAGCAGCCCCAGTGACGGTTCAGTCCGTCAGAGTTACCATGTAAGTGCTTTGCCTGGCACATGGGTACGGGTCCATGATTAGAACCAAATTATTAGAATACAAGGTGAAAAAAAAGACCGGTGTCAGAAATGTATATTATATAATATACAGCGATATTGTACAACAGCAGGAAGAGATTTTGTGAAGGGGTTGGGGGTGTGGATGTGGGCAGGGGTGTAAGTGCTGACAACTAATATGGAAGGGGTGTCGCTGAGAGGCTTCCCAAACTATAAAAACCTTCACCGTGCTGAGGATTCGCCATTTTCTCATATACCATTGCTAAGAACATTCTCTGAAGCATTTAAAAGAAACTATTTAGAGGTTTTTCATTCTCGTCCATTGAGGGACACAGGAAGGCATTCACATTTCGGGTTATACTGCCACCTACAGGAGCAAATGTGAATGGCATTGATATTGAGATACACAGGCATTCATTTACTTTTTCTTCTGTAGGTGGCAGTATAACCCAAAAGTGAATGACTTCCTGTGTCCATCAGTGGACTTCTAGAGAAGGATTTCACAATGCGTAAAGAGTCCTCTTCTCATCCATTGAGAGACACAGGAAGTCTTTCACTTTTAGTCCTGTAAGCGGCAGTCTAACCCGAAAGTGAATGATTTCTTGTGTCCCTTAATGGACTTTAAGAAAATTATTTTAATGGTCAGTACAAAATCTTAATTTCTTTCTTGTCCATTTGAGGTACACAGGAATTCACTTTGTGGTTATAATGCCACCTACAGGGGTGAAAGTGAATGACTACTGCCCATTGAGGGACACAGGAATTAACTTTGGGGTTATACTGCCACCTACAGGATCGAAAGTGAATGACTTCCTGTGTTCCTCAAAACATGAGAAGAGGATTCTCTACCCATTGTGAAATCCTGTTCTAGAAGTGCATTGATGGACACAGGACGTCATTCACTTTCGGGTTATACCGCCGCCTACGGGAGCAAAAGTGAATGACATTCTGTGTCCCTCAATGGACTGATTTTTTATTTTTTTTTCCCCTGGCTTTCACTCTATTTCCCTATTCTGTACTCCCCTCGGACATGTTGAGACGTCTGTTTAGCTAACATGGCGTGCCAGAGACTGACCGGCGATTTTTACTTCCTGCAGGACCGAACTACGTGACGCCTTTCATCCCGGACAGCGAATTCTCGGAGCTCGGTGCCAAACTCCTCCTCTTCTATACGCCGCAGGTATGGGAATGCAGAGCCGGGGATTTCCTCATCTTTGGGCTTCATAAGGCTGCTGAATAAAACTAATGAATTCATTTTATGGCGCTCAGGCTGAGATACTCGGACAATATAAATGAATGTATCAAAAATGTGTACAAGGTATATAAATACTGCGCGGCAGAGCTGGTCCTATGTAACTGGATGATCTATAACACAGGGGTGGGCAACCTCGGCATTCCAGTTGCGGTAAAAACTACAAGTCCCATGAGGCATTGCAAGACTCTGACAGCCATGACTCCCAGAGACAGAGGCATGCTGGGATTTGTAGGGTCACCATAGCTGGAGGGCCGAGGGTGCCTACGCCTGCTCTACTGTACTATATGAAGACGGCCAGTTCCAAAGGGGGGGGGGGGATCAGTGGCGGCTCCAAGGAGAGGTGAGTGAAAAACAGAGCGGGAACAGCGCAAGCATACGCCAGTAGCAGTAGCGTCACTAGGGGGGTGCAGCCCGCACCCAGGTGACACCAAAATGACTGACAGTCATTTTAGTGTCACCCCCTCTGAAAAGTCGGGCACTCGGTCATGGACTGAGAGCCCGACATTTGCTTGAGAGAGAGTGGAGGGGACCCGGTGGCATACCTGATCCCGCCAGGTGAATGTCCCCTCTTCTTTCTGCCGGCTCCATCGCCAAGATGGCCACCGGCAGGTAACAGCGCGTGACGTCACTGCGGGGTGTCACCCGGTACCCGCTCTGGGTGACACCCTGCCTTGGGACATCCCTGACCTAATGCAGCTTCCTATAACCCGGCGGGGGCGGCAACGATGCTGCCCTGCTCCTGAGTTCAGAGTTGTCACACGCATGTAGACCGTGCCTGCTTGCGCTATAGCGGGATGAGACTATGCAGGGGGCGTGGCTATCGGCACTGCAGAAGCCTGTCGCTTGTCAGTCAGCACCCGGCCCCGCCCACTGCTTTCTAGATTGACCGCACAGCCTCTGCTGTTGAAACCTTCCAACTGTCAGCTGCAGTGTCTGGGCAGGGGAGCGTGTGAGACGAAGGAGGATTTGGCTCAGTCAGGGGAGGTAAAGGAAGTTTTGTGTTTACTTTATGAGGCATCGCATAGGAACTGGATTTGGTTCTTGTTTAGACCGTCATATGGGAACCTTTGCAAGGCTGGACTCCAGGCAAACACGCAGATGAAAGGAGGAGCAGCAGACTGTAGAGCTCATCCCTCGGGCAATCTGCTCTCTCCTCCAATTGGCGTGTTTCTTGCATTCCAACATGCCTGCTTGGCCCCCCATGTGCTGCTTCTTCCTCCCCCAGTCTGAGCTTTGCTGTACAGGGGCTGATGCAAGGTCACATTCAGCTTTTTGTACACCTTGCATGTAGTATGAGTTAAAGAGCTGCAATCATTTGTCTTTTATATCTGACTGGAGTTCAGCCTTAAAGGAGAACTATGAGGTGAGTGATTTCCACTCATCCTCAGAGTTAGAGCCGACCTGTGATAAAGAAATCCCCGCTCCGATCCTCCAGCGCTGACTGGCGGAACGGACGGGGGAGGGGGCGGGTACAGCTGGCTCTGCCTCTAGATAGGCAGAGCCAGCTGTCACTCACGCAGCTGGGTGGATCCCGGCACAATTGTCGGGATCCGCTCCGGCTGCGGCGTCTCAGTATACCGCGAGCAGCAGCTACTGAGCCTGGGGTGACGGGAGGACGCTAGTTTGTGTCCTCCTGTTACCCTAAGGAGAACTATGGGGAAAAGCCCTAAACACCATAGTTCTCCTTTTAAGTTGCTGTTTTATATTACTTTCAGAAGAAAACTCCAATTTCCTCTGTTTTTGAGTTTTGTTTGGGTTGATGACATAAAGATCGGGATTTGTTGCTGAGAAGCGCTCGTAATATGTTTCTTCTGCTTCAGGCTTCCAAAAACAATATTTGCTTGGACCTGTCACCCAGCCACGCGTTTCACGGGAGGCTGACGGGCCACAGGGTCATCACGTGGGATGTGAAGGTACGTAGGTCTGTCCCCCTTGTATGAATGTTCTGCCGGTTCTGTGTGCGACTGATCATTTGGAGAAAGGACGGACTGGTCGGAAGGTTCCGGTATCTCAAAACGGGAACACCAAACCAAATGGTGGTGATTATACCAGCCACTGACGGCAGTGTTGTGTCTCCTCACTGATCTCCCACCATTAGGGCAGGTTCATAACATGTTTAGGACCAGATCTGGTCCGGGAAATGGTGTGAACCTGGCCCAGGGTTCCAGTGCATTGCAGACCAGACAAAATGAGGCGTGCAGTATTTTTCGGGTCCGGTCTGGTCTGGAACGGACTACGCTGGTGTGAACAGAGGCCAGAAATAGCATAGGGATACATTGGGATGCATTTTGGGTCCGGTCTGGTCTGGAGATGATCTGGATGTGGTGGGAATGGGCCATTAAGGAAGATGGATTCTACAGATCCGTCCCGTCATTTATATTGATGAGTCTATTTAAAGGAGAACTATGAGGTAAGTGTTTTACCCATAGTTCTAAGGGTCACGGGAGGACACGAACTAGCGTCCTCCCGTGACCCAAAGCTCAGTATATAGCAAGCTCTATACTGAGACAGCCACAGCCGGGACGGATCCCGACATTACTGTCGAGATCCACCCAGCTGCGTGAGTGACAGCTGGCTCTGCCTATCTAGAATCAGAGCCAGCTGTACCCGCCCCCTCCCCCGTCCGTTCCTCCAGTCAGTGCTGGCGGATCGGAGCGGGAATCCCTTTAGGGAGCCGTGAGTGACAGTCACGGCTATGTGCAGGGAGATGATCGAAAAGTGAGCGAGCGCCGGTATGTGTTCGCTCACTTCCCGATCTATTGAGCCGACGTGTGACAGCTTCTTTGTTTGACACATTGGCTCAAACTATGAGGAGGAGTGAAAATCACCCACCTCATAGTTCTCCTTTTAAACCCTGATAAGGTTTCTAAGCCCTGATGAAGTGGGGGGGGGGTTGTAGAATCTGAAAAGTGTTGGTAGTTTCATGTGACACTATACATCATTACAGCAATTTGAACTCCTTCCCCTCTTGGTTAGGCAGGTCTGTTGTATATTAATGCTTTGGGTCACATTCTTGGTGCCCACTGGAAGGAACCCTTACCAGCCTCACCAGAGCCAGCAAATGATTGGTCTCCTCATTCCTTTAAATGAATAAATGTTGAAGTCCCAGCGGTATTTGGATGTTTCCTTTTGGAGATCGACTACGGTAACTCAGATGACCGCTCCATACAACCGTGAGCACAAAGCATCTGGTGATGCACAACACCTGGAACCGTGAGGAGGATGGGCTACAACAGGCTTGAGGTCTCCAGTGATGACCTTTCCTAGTCATAGTTCCCGGTCATGTTTTCTCCCATGTTGAGGGTTTTGTGCGTTCCCCCGTAGTATTAAATCCAGCAGGGGCGGCGGGAACTCCTCATAATGGGCATAGCGGGTTTACAAAACCAGTGATTTGAAGGAAACCTTGGACCAGAACCATGGAGGCCACCATTGTTGACCTCCTTCCATTGGTTCAGCATCACCACCACTCAAACAGTAATTTTGGATATTTCTTTCTGGAGAAAGTCTACGGTAACTCAGATGACCGCTCCATACAACTGTGATGAGCACAAAGCATCTCATGATGCACCACACGTGGAATCGTGAGGAGGATGGGCTACAACAGGCTTGAGGTCTCCAGTGATGACTTTTCCGTGTCATAGTTCCCGGTCATGTTTTCTCCCATTATGGGGGTTTTGTGCGTTCCCCGTAGTATTAAATCCAGCAGGGGCGGCGGGAAACCCTCATAATGGGCATAGCGGGTACACGGAGCCAAAACCAGTGATTTTTTTTTTAAGGAAACCTAACACCGGAAACATGGAGGCCACCATTGTTGACCTACTTCCAATAGATCAGCATAATCTCCACTCTAACAGTAATTTTGGATATTTCTTTTTAGAGAAAGGCTACAGTAACTCAGCTGACCGCTCTTTACAACTGTTATTCTGACTCCGATTGTTGTATCACTAATTTACCCCCCTTGCTGAGACCTCTGTGCCCGGCCTGTATAAGCAGATATAATCACTGCGGACAATCCTTATCAGATGGTGAACTCACCAAATACCTTTTCATCCACTAAGAGCTTTATTGTATACATCAGACAACAGGTATTTGCAGGCCAAAGATGGTTAATGTTTCCCCCTCCCCATGCGAGCAGATTAACGTGGTTATGGCACAAACAGCCATTTTGATGCCATGAAGACAATGTGAAGGAGGAGGGAAGTGCATCACACACAAGGGGGAGGGAATACAGAAAAATGTGGTGCAGTAACCGAAAACCACCACAAGATGGCAGTATAATAACCAGCTATACTGATGGCAAAGAACAATGGCTTAAAGGAGAACTATGAGGCGAGTGAAAATCACTCAGCCTCATAGTTCTAGCCGACCTGTGACAATTAAACTGTCACAGGTCGGCTCAATAGATCGGGAAGTGAGTGAACACACACCGGCGCTCGCTCAATTCTCGATCATCTCCCTGCAGAGAGTCGTGACTGTCACTCACGGCTCCCTGCAGGGATTCCCTGCTCCGATCCTCCCGCGTGGAATGGACGGGGGAGGGGGCGATTACAGCTGGCTCTGCCTCTAGATAGGCAGAGCCGGCTGTCAATCCCACAGCTGGGTGGATCACGACAGTAAAGTCGGGATCAGTCCAGGCTGCGGCGGTCTCACTATATAGAGAGCTGTAGGTCGCGGTATACTGAGCTTTGGGTGACGGGAGGACGCTAGTTTGTGTCCTCCCGTTACCCTGAGGAGAACTATGGGGGGAAAAGCGCAGACCCCATAGTTCTCCTTTAAGGAAAATGAACTATGTAATTCTCAATTCATAGTAATATGAATATGAACCGTGACTATGCATTGTGTCATCTTTTCATACAACTGTTGTGACAGCACAACAGTTATGAGCACAAAGGCGTCTCATGACGCACGACGCGTAGAGCCTTGAGGGGGATGGGCTACAACTGGCTTATTTTCAGTAAGGACACCAGCAGTGATAGACTGCTAAAAAAATAATGCATTATGCATGGAGTGACCATCTAAACGCACACAGATGTGTCTCATTCCTCCATACGTGTTTTAATGTTCTTTTGTCTCCCCTCCTCCCAGGACGTGGTGACCTGCGTCGGAGGGATGGGCGTTCTGCTTCCTCTGCTCAAACAGGTGGGATTGCAGACCACAGAAGCTCCAGACGCCCAGGAGACCCATGACCTGGTGGGCCCCGAACTCACCTCCTCCAGGAACGCCCAGTCCATGCAGCTCCCTCTGGGGAAATCCTCAGGTGAGACATTTGTGTTGTATACCTGGTGGGAGTGTTGGGGTTCCAAGAATCTTGGCATGTATGTGCTCCTTAGTCCAAGGGGTGCAGTGCATTCAATTGTGTAGAAAAAAGCTCTGTACCTGCACTTCAGCATGACGTCGTCTTCATTTTGTCTCCACAGAGAGCCGGTTGGAGAGGAACGGAGTGGCGGCTTTCCTACTCATGGTCAAGAATTTCATTCAGCACCATCCGGCCAATCAGGAGAGCCTCCTGCAGTGTGTCGGGCCGGCCATCATAGGCGCTCTGCTGCAAAAGGTGAGAAACCCCTTCCCAAGAGCCAGCCCAATGCTCGCATCAGAGCTGAGGGCTCTTAAGGGGGAGCACTGAGGCAGGGGGCTGTGATGATTTCAGGACGCTACGTACAGCGCCCTGCCAGCCCCTCCCACCAGCCATGATTTCCTGGCAATGTATAGAGAAGCACAAAGACCCAGTGATTAGGTCACAAGGTATGTAATGAAAACACTGTGTCCTTGCTGGGGAGATTTAAGATTCACTCTGGTGACCACTGGCAGCAGACTGAAAGTGGTCAGAAAATCCAAAATGTTGAAATTGTCACCAGAACAGGAAGTGAGGGGAAATCTTCCATTAAGGATACTTGTGACAACTGTCTCTAAAAAGGCATTTCTCTAACTTTGAAGAAATTTCCCCTTGCTTCCTGTTGTGTCTACAGGACAGAGAGTAAAGGAAAACCTCCTCTATGGGACACCGATGGCCTATAGATATAAGATATGACTGCAAAGTTCCCTTTAAATTAATTATCACAGGGCCAGAGGGAAGATGCATCAGTGATGGGACTCTGCTGAGCACAGGGCAGCCAATCACATTTTACTTACCTGAAGTCAGATGAAGCCTTATTGGTTATCGCCATCTGCTTATTTCCTAATAGAAGAGGATTGTTTGTTCATTGACGCACGTTGTGCCCTCAGGTGTCCCCTCTCGTCCTGGACATGAATGTGCTGATGGCATCTCAGATGTTGATGGACCAGGTCGCGTCGGAAGGTCACAATTACCTCCTCCATCACCTCTACCAGCACCTGCTCTTCGACGTCCGAATCTGGTGCAACAGCGACTTCGCCGTCCGCCTGGGTGAGCCGCTCTGCTCCGATTGCTGGCGGGTCTTTTCCTGCCTGTGAGATGTTCTATTGATTTATCGGTTCCTCCTTCCGCAGGTCACATCCAGTTTTTGTCATCCATCATGAAAGACCACAAGCAGAGAGTTCGCAGGAAGTACGGCGTGCAGTACATTCTGGACTCGGTCAGGAGGCATTATGGGTAAGTAAGCTGATGACTTTGTTCATGAAACTGTATGGTGAAAAGTATATGAACCCTCCTCCAAATTAAGGAGTTCAGGTGTCTCCAGTGAAGGGTCTTGTTAATTCTTCATCATACAAAGACATTGTAGACAATTGGGCTCTTCTAGCCTTGTGGTCACAGTTTGGTGAAGACCCTTTTCTGCTCCACCATGACTGTCCCCTGTGTACAAAGCCAGCTCCATAAAGACATGGTGTGACCAGTTTGGTGTGTGAGGATCTTGAGTGTCCTGAACAGAGACCCGACCTCAACCCTACGGAAGATGGTGAATGCCGATTGTTGACCGGGTCTTCTCATCCAACATCACTACCTGACCTCACAAATGGGGACAAATTCCCACAGATCCAAAATCTCAATGGCCGTAGTATCTTCCTGTAAATGTCACATCACTCTGCTTTGTTTCTTCACTATAGAGCTGACCCAAGCAGTGGGCTGGCTCTTGGAAGGGTTTATGGGACTGTTGAGCTGCCTTGATGGCCGGAGTTTGAGTGGTCATTCCTCGACGGACTGTTATTGCATGAGACTAAATAATCGACACCACAGAAAGCATATACCTGGAAGGGGTGTGCCAGGGATATTCAGGATCAGGAGGATTAGCTGCAGCTTCTAATGCACACTGTATGGAACTCCATGTGTCGGGCTATGGGACCTTCTGCAAGTGGGAAGGTTAGGTCAGAGTTCAGCTTTAAGTTTGCTGACAGTGGTAGAATTCTGGGGATGGAATTGCTCTTCATAATACAGTAAGTTGACTGTCATTGTCTATTTCTAATATAAAATGGCAGGACACAGAAAGAGGACCAGATCACCGAGGACAATGTGAAGACCGTCCAGATGTCCCTCTTCAGCCTGACCAACGACTTCCTGGCCAAGAATCTGAATGCCGAGGATCTGCACAGTGTGATCAACTACACCGCGACTGTGAATGATGAGGAGCAGGTAGGTACACCGCCCAGCCGTCACCTGACCCACAGCAGTGTGCGTCCCCAATGTAGGCGATAGATCCATTTGCTTTATGAGCGTTGGGGGAGGGGATGTTATGTGTGTGTTGTGAATTTTGGTCCAGTCTAGAGAAGCCCGGAGATTTCTTTTACATGCAAACCAGGTTCAACTTTTTTATATATATTTTACATAAAACATCACAGCATCCATTTAGGATGTATAAATAAATATTGAGAAATTGTATCAAACCCATTACTGTATCTAATTAAACAAGGAACGGAAAGAGATGAACCGCAATCCTTTCAAGCTGTTAGCCAATCACCTCTAGAGACATTTATGCCTCCATCTTGTCTGTTAGGTATGTGGGATCCTGGACGTCATCCACAGCCTGCTGAAAGCCAACATCAGCAACGAGCAGCTGTACGCCTTCCTGCTGGAGCAGGGCAACGTGGACGTCTTCTACTACCTGCTGGTCCAGAAGAGGTTCTCCGACCAGCTGAGGGAGAAAGTGTTCAAGGTCTGTATGGAGACAGCCCAAGAGTTGTTTCTACAATACCGAACTGCTGCAGTCAGTGGCGTATAGAGTGAGGGGTGTAAAGCCTGCAACTCTCCAGCCTTCGAGTCATGCGGGCATTGGCTGGCACAGCATGCTGCTGTCTAATTTCTGTCTAGCTGGAGGGTCACCGTTTATACCTACCTGATATAAAGCTTCATATGTTTTTGATATACAGATATTATTATTATTATTATTATACAGGATGTATATGGCGCCAACAGTTTGCACAGCGCTTTACAATATAGGGCAGACATTACAATCACAATACAATCCAAGACAAGATGGTAAGGAGGGCCCTGCCCCTGAGGGCTTACAATGTACACCATATAGCCAAAAGTCTGTGGACCCCCTTCAAAATGATGCAGTTCAGGTGTCTCCAGCTAAGGTTACTATTATTACTCACTATACAAAGACATTGTAGACAATTGTGCTCTTCCAGCCTTGTGGTAACAGTTTGGTGAAGACCTTTTTCTGTACCCAGCTCCAAAAAATATGGTTTGACCAGTTTGGTGTGGAGGAACTCAAGTGTCCTGCACTGGGCCCTGACCTTACTGAAAACCTTTGAGATGAATTGGAACACCAATTGTCAGCCAGCTCTTCTCACCCTGACCTCCCAAATGGGCAGAAGTATGTGCACCCCCCTCCTAAAGGCCATTTCGGTTCCACCATGACTACCCCCTGTGAACAAAGCCAACTCCATAAAGACATGGTCTGGTGAGTTTGGTGTAGAGGAACTCGAGTGGCCTCCGCAGAGCCCTGACCTCAACCCTACTGAGCACCTTTGGCATGAATTGGAACGCCATTTGTGAGCCAGGTTTTCTCATAAACACCAATTGTCAGCCAGCTCTTCTCACCCTGACCTCCCAAATGGGCAGAAGTATGTGCACCCCCCTCCTAAAGGCCATTTCGGTTCCACCATGACTGTCCCCTGTGAACAAAGCCAACTCCATAAAGACATGGCGTGACCACTATGGTGTGGAGGAACTAGAGTGTCCTGCACAGAGCCCTGACCTCAACCCTACTGAACACCTTTGGCATATGTCAGCATGCTGATTGTGAGCCGGGTCTTCTCATCCAACAGCCTGACCTCACAAATTCCCACAAACGCTCTCGGAGCAATGAAGTCCAATTGAATGCAGGAGAAATGTGCAACGTTTTAAAGTCCTCTTATTTTTGTATGCGGTGGCAGGGGCGTATCTGCCGCGAGGCAAACAAGGCGTTTGCCTGGAGCGGCAGATTCCCTGAGAGCGGCACTTGCTGTGGTTCTCTCCCCTTGATACATTTTATTTATCAAGGGAAGAGAACCGGAGGCTATCGTAGCGGCGGGGACGAGGCCGGCGGGTTGCGGCGGTGTCCAGCAGGCAGCGGTCGGCGGCGCTTTTTAATGCCGGGTGAGTGATCGTCGGACCTCTTTGTCTTGGGATTTAATTGCTCGCACACCTGTCCTGTCTAACCTGAGCCTTGGCTGTCTCTCCAGATCCTCTACAAGTTAATCAAATACGAGAAGGTCAGTGATCGGCTCAAGGTTCGTCTGAAGCTGAAGGAAATCGGATACCATGGATTCATCTCCTTCCTGAATGACCTTCCCGTGTCGATGCTGCTGATCCGCTGCCTCTCCGAACAGGTCTTGGGCTCCGGTAAGCTCCGTTCTCTGTGTGTAGAAGTGATCGATGAGTGAAGAGGGAGACCCATGTGATTTCTGGGAGTAGGCATTCTGTGTACATCTGATGAAACCTTTTAAAGGAGAACTATGAGGTGCGTGCTTTCCACTCTCCTCATGGTTCTAGCCGACCTGTGACAATGAGACTGTCACAGGTCGGCTCAGTAGATCGGGAAGTGAGCGAACACATACCGGCGTTAGTGACAGGAGGACGCTAGTTTGTGTCCTCCCGTTACCCTAAGGAGAACTATGGGGAAAAGCACTGACCCCATACTTCTCCTTTAAGGAAACCTTGAAGAAATGTGGAGGCCTCTGAAGATGCTAGCTGTCTGGCTTTCATGCTGACCTTCATTCTTAGGGTAGTTCACCGCATGGCAAAATGAGGCCCTTTTTGTGTTTTCGCCAAGTTTGCTTGAATCACTCCGCTTATCCCTAATGGGGATGTTGCTTAACCCCTTCGCGACTCATGACGGGATAATCCCATCATGAAGTCTGAAGGGGTTAAACGGCCAGCTTTATAGTAGAAGCGATTCTGGCGGCTCAGCTGCTGCCAGATTGCTTCTACGATCCGGTAAACGGGACCGCCCCCCACCCCCGCTGTGTTTCCCGGGCTCCGATGACCCTCTTACGGGCCCGGGACCGGCATCTCGGGTGTCGGTGGGAAACTGGGGTTGGAGAACGTCCGTACACCGCTCTCCTTCCTGTTCTATGGGACTGGAAGCGACGTGTATTGCATCACTTCCGGTCCCTGAGCTGTCATTGCTCGGCTCCTGAAGCCAAGCAATAAGCTATTAAACTGCTTTCTGCACCCCAATAGCTTATTTAGAGTGACAAGGTGACACTAGGAGTCTTTTGGACCCCCAGCATCACCTTAAAAAGGACCTGTCACCACCAATATGTCATCACATGGGGGGGGGGGGGGCTCGTAAGCCCCCCTATGTGATGGCAATTAAAGTTAAAATTAAATAAAAATAACAGTTTTTAAAAATGTTAAATCAAATGTAAAAATAATTTTAAAAAATTTTAGTCTCCCGCGAGCACGCGCGTCACGTAGACACGCGTCGGGTGCGCCTACGTACGAAAACTACGTTTGCGTTAGACATGTTGGGTATCGCCGCACAAGCCGGAGTGAGAGCAATCATTCTCAGACCAATATTTATGCGTATCTCTGAACTGATGACCTGTGGGGGCTTTTAAAACTTCATCTATAGACTTTTTGGGGTACTGAATTCTTCTATCGCAGTTTCACAGACGCACACAATTTTTTTAACCTGGGCCTATATCTATTTACTCGTTGTAACATCATCTGTTATATTTTAGCAAAAAAAATGGTTTTATATTGGGGGCACTAAATTTAACTCAAGTGCATTTTTTCACTAGAGATTTAGTTTTGATAATAGGTTGCGCTAATGTCGGGCAACATAAACATTTGCAACTTCCGCCATTGTATTCTGCAGGGTCCAGGCTTTCAGAAAGTATATCATGTTTGGGGGGTTTAAAGTAAATTTCAGGCACAAAATGTGGATTATAACATCTAAACAAAAAATGAAAAAAAAGGCCTTTGTCCTTATTGGAGAACTATGGGGTCAGGGCTTTTCCCCATAGTCCTCCTCAGGGTCGCGGGAGGACACAAACTAGCGCCCTCCTGTCACCCAAAGCTCAGTATATAGGGGGCTACGGCTCGCGGTATAGTGAGACTGCCGCAGCCGGGACGGATCGCGACATTACTGTCTAGATCCACCCAGCTGCGAGAGTGACAGCTGGCTCTGCCTATCTAGAGGCAGAGCCAGCTGTACCCGCCCCCGTCCGTTCCTCCTGTCAGCGCTGGAGGATCGGAGCGGGGAGGGGAATCCCTGCAGGGAGCCGTGAGCGACAGTCACCACTCTCTGCAGGGAGATGATCGAGAAGTGAGCGAGCGACGGTATGTGTTCGCTCACTTCCCGATCTATTGAGCCGACCTGTGACAGTCTCATTGTCACACGTCGGCTCCAACTATGTGGATGAGTGATTTTCACTCACCTCATAGTTCTCCTTTAAGGGGTTAACAGACTTTTTAGTAAATATGAAGGTCGGGGGGAATAAGACGCATGTGCCAAAGTCAGGGCTGCTGTCCTGCGTTCTCTCTGAATGCTTAATTCTATCTCCGCAGATTTAACACCTAATTACAGGGACCTGCTGGCGGTGGTTTATCTGTCGCACAGAGCAGAGCTCTCGGTCAAGCTGGACGTCTGCAGGAAGGTAACGTCTGCGCTCCTGGAGCCCCTTTTATATGCTTTCAGGATCATTAAGGCCTCGTTCACACTAGACACAGCTCGTTCCGGTCCCGATTCTGGCCAGAACGCACTGCATCGCAGCCGGCTCACTATGTTGTGGGGCAGAAGGGGCGGAGCGTGGCGGTCTATTAAAGTGAATGGCACCCTAGCCACGCTCTCCGGGCCGCACGGAAACGCAAGGCACTTTATGCCTGCAGTCCGGTCCGAAAAAAATGCTGCAAGCACTATTTTTTTGTTCCGGAGCGCAGGCATAAAGTGCCTTGCGTTCCCGTGCGTCCGGAGTGCCATTCACGTCAATGGACCGCCACGCCCCCCCCCCCCCCTGCCCC